TTAATATTGTTTTGACAAAATGTGTAGATATTTTCTTTATGCTAGCCTTCAAAATGGAAAATATTGATGTAATGCATTAATTTTCTTTATCAAATTTACCTTTAACCAACTTTATTCAGAAATAATTATAAACCAAAAATATTTTTACCTAAAAAAATTACAAACCATAAAACTTTTAAGAATTAATAAAAAAAATCAGCATTAAGATACAAAAAGTAATATTGATTTATCTAACGCATAGGAAATTAGCCATTCTCACTAAAATGCAACTTCAATTGTAATTGAATAAACTAGACATAATCCAAAAAAAAAAAAAAAGCATGAATTGAACTTTGATGAACACCCTTTAATTAGAAATGTCGTAAAGCTTCATTCTCATTTTTTTCTTAAAAAAACCTGTGCGTCATACTGGTCCCGACTAGTTTAATCTAAATCCAAATCCGCATGCCTCACTTTCCCAGAAAAAAAAAAAGAATTAAAAATAAATAAAAAACTAATGACTAAATGTTGCCAAAAAGAAGAGAATTATTATGAGATTTTAAGGCAGGCGACATGAAATTTATGACATGAGGTAGTCAAATAAGATGAGATGTAAGGCTAAGATGACCCAATAACAACCACACAATCCTTTTTCTCATTAATTAGAGAATGGACGCTGTGAAGAATGAAGAAGTCAAACGATACAAATATAAATATGTAGAGCCTAAAATTTTATATTTTATATTATTTTGTATTTGTACCTCTTCAATCAAAATTGAGCCTAAAGAGCACTACTACCGCATGAAATGGCCCAATTAATATTATTAATTGCTTTTTATTTTATTTTTCGTGTCATTTATTGAATATATAATAGGCTAGTTGAAGTTTCAATAGCCTTTATTTACTTCTTTTTTTTCTATTCTCTTCACATATGGCTGAATCGGAAGGTGTTGACTGTTGAGAGACGTAACAATGTGGCTAAACGGATCGTGTCAGACTCTACTAAAATGTTCTATGCATTCACCACCACACATTCTACTTTAATTGTTGCTTTATCAAATGGGAATTAAGTTTGATTTTTCCACGATTTTATTTATCTCAACAAGCCCTCCACCCGAATTTTCATTATTTGACACGCCATTCCAATCCGTACAGGCTTGGGGGCCCATTCTCGTGCATTCACGCTCTCTGTGCTTTGAAAATGGTTTTGCAATTGGACCGGACCGATGATTGTATTGATTGACCCGGAAATCATTCAGGCAACCTGCTGATCCGGGTGGTTAAACTATTAATCTGTTCGATTCATTTAACGGTTTTTGATCTTTTTTTTTTTTTTTCTAAATTAGAATGAATTATCAATTCAAATCAGATAATTGAACTGCTGACCTCAGAACAGTTTTAATTTCGATCGGTATTTACAACCTTGATTTTCATATTAAAAGCCCATTCACCGGCTGGGATGGGAAGGGGGTATTTGTCGATATGAATGGTTTTGTTTGATCTAAAAAAAGGAATGAACAACGCAATTAATATGAATATTTTTAGTCAAATTTCATCACCAAGCAATGCATGTACGGTACTCAAAAGTTTGTGTTTCTATGTTTTTGACTTTTTTCATATTGATAATGAAACGATGTTTTGAGCGGTACCAAATATTTTCATTTACCAGACACTAGAAACCACCAGTTGGAAAGGGAGAGAGTGAGAGTGACTAGCGAGGGTAGAGTTCGGTGAGTCTTGAGCGGAATGTAGAATGGAACGAAGGAGAAGCTAACAGCGCAAAGTATAGACTCCGTTTAATTCACTTTATAAGCATTAAGCAAATACACGAATCAAAAGACGCATGGCGCGTCCTCATGATGCGTGAACGGTGCGAGCGTGGACTCTTTGTAACTTACTCTTGTTTCGAACTTATTTTCATTTTTAATGGCCTTCACAAATATTATATGCAATTATTTGTTACTTTTTTTTTCCAATTTTGGCATTTTTAATTTGAATAAGTCAAACGGTTGAATCTATTGTGATTAATGCCCTAAAGGTACATATTTCAACTACTACTTCTTTTAAAACATAGGACCACACATTAAGTGTTTTTTAAGTATTTATAGGTATTTGCTAAAAAAAGTGAAGAAGAAGTACTTCTTCTTAAAATAATCACTTCTTAAAAAAGTGATATGGATGTAGCTTTTTTCATTACCTTTTGAAAAACTGCTTTTGCATTCAAATGGGACAAACTTGTCCCTACTTTTTAATAACAAAAATACCCCCGTGCAAGCATACCAGGCAGCGACAACGTCAGTTGTAGGTCCACTAGCAACATTCGATAGTGAACAAAAAACGGCCGGTGGACCTGTCATTTTGCTCTTATCTTTGTGTTTCTATAGTATTCCATCAATTTGAGGCTATTTTTTTTTGTGTTTTTCTGAAATCTGAAACTCCCTTTTTTCTCTCTGTTTGCAGATCTGTGTTTGGGCGACTTCAATGGCGATATCCCACCGCCTAGCTGTCGGAAACTAAAAGGTGGGTTCACGTAAACTCCCCCCCCCCTTCCATGTTTTTTTTTGGGTGATTATTTCTCTGATTCGATTTTTTTTTTTTTTTGTATTCATATGAGAAATCTGAAATTCTTTTGGGCATTTTTTTTGCTAGAAATCATGCAAAAAAATTGCTTAAGTTGGATGAATATTTATGAATATTTGTGTGAAAAATGGTTGAAGTTGGATGAATATTTGTGAATATTTGTGAATTTTTTCATGAATTTTTGTTGCTGATGATTTTAATATTTTTTTTGATAACCTAAATTTTCATTTTTCTAAATAATATGAATTTAATCATCATATTTTATTTTTTTTAATTTGATAATGGTGGTGTTTTATTTTTTTGTTTTGCTGAGTAATATGAAATTTTCAATTATTGATTTATACGCATGGTTAAAACTATCCTATTGTTATTTATTTTTTGATTTGTATATGTATAGTTAATATTATCCTATTTTATTTTTTTGAATCATCCAAATTTAGTCATCTTATTTTATTTTTTTAATTTGATATAGGTGGTGTTTTTTATTTTCTATTAATAATATGAATTTCCAATTATTGATTTATATGTATAGTTTAAATTATCCTATTTTTATTTTATTGTTGATTTATATGTATAGTTAAAATTATCCTATTTTTATTTTTTGGTTGATTTATTTATTTTTTTTGAATTATCTGAATATTAGTATGTTTAATGAATTGGTGGTGTTTTTTATTTTCTTGAATAATATAAATTTCCAATTATTGATTTATATGTATGGTTAAAATTATCCTATTTTGTGAAAAGTACTTTTTAAAAGCACTTTCTAGAAATATTTTTGTGAAAAAATGCGCCTTGAGAGTGCTTTTTGGAAGTCTATTTGTGAAAACTCAATTGTAAAAGTGCTTTGTAGAAGTAATTTGTGAAAAATACTCTATAAAAGCACTTTCTAAAAGTAATTTGTGAAAAATGATCCCTAAAAGCACTTTCGGGAAGTATTTTGTGAAAATTGCCTTGAAAGTGATTTTTGGAAGGAATTTGTGAAAACTGGTCCTTAAATGTTCTTTCTGGATGTAATTTGTGAAAATTGCTCCTTAAAAGCACTTTCTGGAAGTATTTTGTAAAAACTAGTCCTTAAAAGTGCTTTCTATAAGTAGTTTGTGAAAATTGCTCCTAAAAACACTTTGTGGAAGTATTTTATGAAAATTGGTCCTTAAAAGTGGTTTCTTTAAGTTATTTGTGAAAACTGCTCCCTAAAAGCACCTTCTTAAAATATTTTGTAAGAATTGGTCATTAAAAGTGCTTTTTGGAAGTAATTTATGAGAATTGCTCCCTAAAAGCACTTTCTGGAAGTATTTTATGAAAGTTGGTCCTTAAAAAGTGTTTTTTGAAAGTAATTTGTGAAAACTGTACCATAAAAGCACTTTGGTGAAAATTGATTATTGAAAATTCTTTTTGGAAGTATTTATTATTATTATCCATGTGACATTTCATGTGTGGGCCCATGTGCTCTCTCATGTGTCATGATATAGTGGTTGGTGATTTTTCATTAAAATGTATATAATGATATGGAAAGCATTATTTATAAGTATGTGTGGAGTGAATGCTAAAAGTGTTATGGGAAAGTAGGTCCTAAAACATCTCCACCCCAATAAGTGCTTAAAAACAATAAATGATTGACAACGGGATCATCGAAAAATCTTCAAGTCGAAGCACTTTTAAAAAATACTTGTACAACAAGTACTTTTTTTCCAAACCACTTATTCACCAAAGATAGCCTAATGCAAGTTTATGGCTAGCTCAGTCTGATTAAAAATTTATGATATTAATGCTTTTTTCGTTAATGATTTTTTATTCATGATTTATTAGACAAAAAAGGAGAAATCGCAGGCAGCATTGAAGAGTCCGGTTCCGTTCCTCACACTAACTTCACAGCATCTTTCAGACGCAGATCCGGTGGATGTGGATGTGAGGAGCGCTCTGTAAGTACCAGATCCACGATTGCTAGATCCAGCGCCGACAGGCGACAGCAATGACGTCGTCAACCATGAAAAACAGACCATTATGTCAATGGATTGGATTGGATCGGATCGTCAGCTCAAGGTGGCACCTAATTCAGGTAAATTCATCCTCGTGGAAATTTTCAGGTATGGACCAAAAGTTACGTAAACCAGTACCATATTGCTATGATCCAATAACACGCGGGCACGTCCTCAATTATAAACGTCATCGATCCCGTTGAACGGTTGATGTATCCGGGTTTATTGGTCATGATGTTAGCTCACAGAATTCGAATTCAGTCCCCCCAGCCAGCAGTTGTGCATTGTGAATGATAAAACATACAAATGGTTAGATATTTCTAATGTACGATTGCAAAAGGCTGTGAGATGGTGTGAGGATGGTTTTGTGAGTATTAAATCTAAGTTCGAAGTTCGAGCTCACAATGCACGTCTATTAATAAAAGCCCACCACCCTAAAATGGCAGCGTCCTTACTAAAGTCCAAACCTTTTTGATCAATCTGTGCTTTTAGCAGCGAAAGGTCTACAAGCGAATCTCCTACACTACAACCCTTCAAAAATTAAACATGTCTTCTTCAACTTCAAGCACAGTTCGTCGCCGTCCGGTGTCTTCCACCGAAAAAGAAGAATCCCCCAACTCCAGTCTCCCCATGAAACAGATCCCCGGCAACTATGGCCTTCCCTTTATTGGCCCGATAAAGGACCGGCTCGACTACTTCTACAACCAAGGTCGAGATGAATTCTTCAAGACCCGCATGCAGAAATACGGATCAACCGTCTTCCGAGCTAACATGCCTCCCGGTCCATTCATGGCTTCCAACCCCAACGTCGTTGTGCTTCTCGATGCCGTAAGCTTCCCTGTTCTCTTTGACGTTTCCAAGGTGGAGAAGAGGGACCTCTTCACCGGCACTTACATGCCCTCCACCGCCCTCACCGGCGGTTACCGCGTCTGCGCTTATCTAGACCCATCGGAGCCCAACCACACAAAGCTCAAGCGCCTTATCTTCTTATTGCTTTCGTCTCGTCACAGTAAATATATACCAGAATTCCACAAAAGTTTCTCCGTCCTATTCGACAATCTCGAAACTGAGATTAAAAACAAAGGAGAAGCCAACTTCAATAACCTCAACGATAAGACTTCTTTCGATTACCTTTTGAAGGCCTATTTTGACAAGGACCCGGCTGAAACCAAGATCGAGTCGAAGGGTTCGAATTATGTTACTAAGTGGCTGTTTTTCCAACTTTGTCCCCTGATAACCCTCGGCTTGCCTAAACTTGTTAGCTTCGTGGAAGATATTCTTCTACACACTTTTCCTCTCCCACCATTTCTCGTCAAGTCCGACTACATGAAGCTCTATGATGTCTTCTACACCTCTGCCGCTGCACTTTTAGATGAAGCAGAGAAAATGGGGCTTAACAGAAAGGAAGCTTGCCACAACCTGCTCTTCGTTACGTGCTTCAATGCCTACGGKGGGATGAAAATTCTTTTCCCTGCCTTAATGAAGTGGGTTGGCTTAGCTGGAGAAGAGCTTCACAAACAGCTAGCCGACGAGATCAGAGCAGCGGTTAAAGCGGAGGGAGGTGTGACCTTAAATGCAATAGAGAAGATGCCACTTACAAAGTCGGCAGTCTACGAGGCAYTGAGGATCGAACCGCCTGTKATGTTYCAGTAYGGSAARGCCAAGAAGGATTTGGTGATCGAGAGCCACGACGCGGCTTATGAAGTGAAGAAAGGCGAGATGATATTTGGGTTTCAGCCGTTCGCCACCAAAGATCCGAAGATATTCGACAAAGCAGAGGAGTACATTGCTAGCAGGTTCGTTGGAGAGGGAGAGAAGCTGTTGAAGTATGTGTTCTGGTCTAACGGACGGGAAACGGAGAATCCGACGGAGGAGAATAAACAGTGCCCCGGAAAGGATTTTGTGGTGTTAGTAGCGAGGCTTCTGCTGGTGGAATTCTTTCTGCGTTTTGATACTTTCACAGTTGAGGTTAGTACCATCTTGTTGGGGCCTTCGGTGAAGGTGAAGTCCTTAACCACTGCCAGGATTTCCACCCCATAAAGTTGGATAAATTCGTAGTTTTACTAGACAGTGATTGCATTCTTGTTTTTTTTTTTTCTTTTCTTTGGTTGAGTTCTTTGCATTCTTGTAATTTTTTTTTTGACATTAGATAAATAAAATATTATTATTCAAACATTTTGCATAGAAATTGTCCATTATTTTATTATCTTTATTAAAATAATTAAAAATAAAAATAATAAAAAAAAACCTAAATATTTAGATGAAAGTCACATTAATTGAGACATGTGTCACACTGCTATTACGTATTCATCCATTGTGCCTATCTAACGTGCCTACTACTATCAGACCGGGTTGCATTTTTGAAATTAATCTTCTTGAAATTTACTCGTCTATTAATTTCAATAGGGGCTTCCTTTTAATATTGTGCTTATGGTATGGATATATACGTGGAATACCAAACAGCTTTCCTATTTTTCTGCAGAGAACAAGCCAACCTCGACGTCAAGTGAGGTTTGGTGGTTGGTAGAAGTCAAACTTTATTTATTTTTTAATTCTCTCTTCCATGTCAATGTTTATAAGTGAATGTGAATATAATAAGGAAAATGAGACATCACCACAAGAATAATTTAACTGTTTGTTTCTCTTTCTTCTTAATATTTTATGACCCCCTGTCTCTTTTGCGTCGGCAAATTATAAATAATCACGAGACTACGAAAGTTTAATTTCAATATGGATTACCCATAAAATAAAAGTCCTGTAAATACGTGTCAGCCACAAAGATATTCTGGCGGGATTGAAAGTTCTCTTCTCCTATTCTTCTTTTTCTTTTTCTTGTATCTCTGGTTTACTATATATATCAAATATTCATTTTATATTTATAATGAAATGGATTAATTTGAATATAGGGATAAACAGATTCCGGTGTTCTTCTTTTCTTTTCCTTAAGATGCTAAGCTTCTTCAGGTTGAAGTCACCCATTCAATTAAAACCATATAGCCGAAACTCTATAGAGGCCAAAATATTAAAAGTGATGCCTTGCTTTTCTCCTTTTACGCTGTGTTTGGTTTGACAGAAAATAAGAGAGAAATGAAAGTTGATGGAAAGTTCTTCAGGTTTTCCTCATCTTTCCCCTTGTCTAATTTTTTGTGTCAAATCAAACATAACCTTCCGCACTTTTTATTGTCAAATTTAGTTTGTTTTAAAGGCTGAGTTCGAAAAGAGTATAAATACTAATGCATATAAAATACAAAGTTTTGTATTCTATATATTTGTATTTGTATTTGTATTTCTTTGGAATTGAACTAATTTTTTCTTTGACATTTGTACATCTTAGATTATTCCTAAGTTTTTTGACAATTCTCTAAAACCTCGTTCACTAACGACGAAAAAAACGATTTTACCCTTTATTCTTCTTAAAACTTTCAAAATAAAATAAAAAAAAAAAAGAAAGAAAAAGAGAGTATAGGTCAAGGTAGAGAGAGAGAGTGCGTGTGTATATTGAGACACTGCCTTCTACCTCTCGCTAGTTAGGAAACATTGAGAAAGGTAAAAACTAAAAAAGACCTCCATTATTTTTCTGTCCTCCTATTGCCGATTTATTTCGGTCGATAACCCGACGAGATTGATGATAATTGCGGGCTTGGTCAACTGATGATGCCAATTACTGTCCTAGCATCTGCAACAACAATATTACATATGCGTACGACCACCAGAGCACCGGATCCGGTGCTTTGAACTTCGTTTACTCCTCTTCGTACAACTTCGGCGTTATGAACTTTGGCGTCCCCAACACCAAGTGCAATGTGTGGCTCTTTCTCACTATCGGTGCTATGAACTCCGACGTCCATTGGAATGAGCGGATTCTCAACAATTGTAGTAGAGGATTGATTCCGCTGTGAGTAGTTACTGGTGGTCGGTAGCAGCGGTGAAACTAAAGTTGTAGGGAGAAGAAAGAAATAAAAAGGAGAATATAGTAATAATGGGATGTGTACGTGCTTTTTGTGTGGTAATTCTAAATGATGACAACGGTAGTAATAATGTATTAAAAAATTTCTATAAATATTTATTTTTATTTTATTTTTTATTTTTATATGGTTTTGTATTTTTATTATTAATTAGATGCATATTGTAAAATCTGAATATGATTATATAAATAATTCATCTAAATATGTGATAATCGGATCGAGTTGTGGATTTTCAAGTATCATTGATGGGTCTACTTTCTTGGTTGGATTCTTCTTTTTATAATATTTTATTTTTTTTGTATTCATTTGTCAAAAAATATAAAATTTAAATAGAAAGAATTGAATGAGATAAAAAAGTAGTAGGTCAACTTACAATTTAAACCTCACAATTAAATAGAGACAAAATTCAAAAATTAGTATTTTAGTAAAAAAAAAGTTCCACAATCTTATTTAATGGTAAGGTCTATACTATAATATATAAATTACATATAAAAAAAATATATGTAGGTCCTAAAATTTACAGCATGTAGGCTTTAGCATGAGCTGGGCCTGAGGCCCAAGTTTTAATTTTTCGGGTCTAACTGAAAATGATCATCGTAACTGGTTTACCCAATAACAAGTAACAACTGAGTGAGTTGGCATTGGACTGTTGAACTTGAATGAAAGCGGTATTTGGAACCGGTGTCATTGCTCTAGAAAATGGTGACACATTAGTGCCACATTTGAAAAATTGGTGCTCCAGGAAACATTAATATGTTTGGAACCGTTTTTCCATAAAAAAAAAAGGTGTTCCAAGCCATGCCTTGGAAATCGAGAATGTATGGTTTGGTGGAGCATAGGTGCCAAATATATACTAAGGTGGCATTTAATAAATTTGAAATTTCATATCCGAAAAATTAAAAAGATATTTTGTCTTAAATCTGAAAAGAAGCATACGTGCTTTTCTACTTTTTAGAGGCTTTGAATCCATAAGTTTGTTTGTGTTGGATCAAGCCTTTACCATCTAAAATTTATTGACTTTACTATTTTACCCCTCAAACATACTATTTGAAAATGTTTGCATTATCTCATAAAAAATATTTTTCAACCTCAAAATAATATTGAAACAATACAAATAAAAAATAAAAAATTAATAATTAATAATTACTAATTAATAAATGAAATGATTAAAATTAAAACAAATAATTAATTACTATAAAATATTAAAATAATTAATAATTAGTAAAAATAAATTATTATTAACAATAGTTATTATTAACAACAGTGGCGGGAAGACAAGGAGAGAGAGAGAGAGAGATATGAAGACGAGAGAGAGGTCGAATGAAGAGGGGTATTTTTGACTTTAGTGCATGTTTGAAACACGTCTAAACGCGTTATTTGTGGAGAAAAGGCACTAATGAGAATGATGATACAGAAAGTGAAGGTGAGCAACTCACAGAAGCAGATGAAGATGACTCTGAGTTGGATCTAGCATGGGAAATGCTTGATGTTGCAAGGGCAATTGCTCAGAAACAGCATGCTGACACAACAGAGAAGTGGAGATCTTATCAACTCTAGGGGAAGTTGCTCTAGAAAGAGGTTCACCTCCCCTCTTTAATAATTTGGACTTTTAGATTTATGTATATTCTTTTCCCATTAAAAGGAACCATTGCTTGGTCATGTAATGGCAAAAGAATGCCAAAGGTTTAGGAATGGATCTGGTCTACCCATCCTAAGACCCCAGATAGTTGGGACCAACATTGGTTGTAGTCTTTTTAACCCATAAGAATGATTAAATGCCTTAATGGCATTGAAGCTGGCTTTGTTTGCATTTTACAGAGGACATTGAGACTTCTATAACTAACTATCAGAAAGAACTTTCAATTTTGGAGTGCTTGGTTGAACCAGACAATCGATAAATTGCCGAAATGTTTTTCTTCCTAAACTGGGTTGTCCCTTGCTCCCCCCAAATTAAAAAATAAAATAAAAATAAAGTTAAAAAGGAAAGGCTCAAGAAGCCATTCCCTATTTCCAGAAGGGCATATCAGTTTGCAAGGCTCAGTTTCAGCGACTAATGGATGAAATAAAGTGCTCAATAGGAATACTTTGGTTCCTGATGTGAGTCAAGACCAACGACGTTCCACTGAGCCCCAGTCTGATCAATCTGTCTTGGATAAGGAAGCTGATATTGAGACACTTAATGGACTCTCAGGTAAACTGTAAAGGAAGGTAAGTTTTGTTCATACTTCATTTGAGAGAAGTTGAGACATCTGTAGTGGGGTTTGATACTTGCTCTGCAATGGTGATGAACTCTTCACAGATGACTGTCATCAATAACAGTGGGGATCTTGACTCTTCAACTGTTTCAACTGCTCATAAGAATGGCAATGGTGGCATCACACATGTTGGAGTGGTGGGAAGATGTAATAAGTGAGCATTAGCAAGCTCAGGCAGTGAGGAGCCTAGCCAGATGAAGAAGTCCTCGTTGAATTCCTCAGGAGAAAGATGAGAGAAGCATATCTTGATTGGTTGTCATTCCAGCACATATGGCTATAAGCCTCCAGTTCAATTGTTATTCCCATTCAAACAAGTTGAGTGTCTGAAATATGAATCATTATCAAAGTAAGCACTATTATGTAGTAGATGATTGTTCTGTATTTATCATTGCATAGTTTTTGTTCTTTCTTTTGCCTTCTTTTTTGTCCCTATAGTGGCACTACTTTAACCCTAGAAGTAGATATTGTAATTTTTAAGTTCATTATGTCTTCACTCTAGTTTGGTTGCTCTGTAAGAATGCAAAGAGGGATAAAATCATATGTCTTCCCCTGATTTTTTTGCGGCCACCTTATGTTATTTATCAGTCCATGTCTCAATTCAACAAACTTGTGCAGAGAAAATAGGTCATGACCTTTGTGGATGATATATTTGTGTTTATATGTATGTCTCTACTCTTCATAACAAGTCTTTAACTCTTTTATAACAGGATACCCTCTAATAGGTAAAGGTCGCCTTTTGTTAATCTGGGGACCCTTCCATATTATTGACTTGGACCAAGCTTCAGAGTACGTATCTGAATTGATGTATTATATATAGTCTATCACGTTGGTAGGCTTAACAGGAGGAGCTGCGCTGGACTGGACTGCCAATTGAATGGAGACA